TTATCATTTTTAATTCAGTTATTGTAACTACTTTCAAATAGTAATCAATCAGTTTAATTTTTGCATATAAAGTTTAATTGCCTACATAGATACACTCAATATATTTTTTTTCCTTGCCTTCAAATTTCACATTGGTTTAGAGGAAAACGTTGATGGGAACGTGAAAGAACAATTTTGTAAATAATGGATTAAAATATATATATTTTTTAAATTAATCTTTTTTTCTCATCCAATTAATCAACAATGTAACTTTCAAACTATTCAATAGTCAATATAATCATTAGCTGCTAAATATACACATATACATATACATATATATATATAATAATACATGGTCCCAGTAGCCTAATAAGCACATCCACATTGAATCTGCTGAATCTGCTGACAAAAGTTCAAAGAAAGCTCCACAGATCCACACGTCATTCACGATCCACACATCCTCCACCCCTTGCATGTTTAATAAGTATTATTGCTACTTTGAAAATGCTTTAATATACATGTTTAGTATTGTTGGCCTTATTTAGCACAACTTATCATACTTAAAGCTATTTCACAGATTTCCTCTTAAAGTCAGCGCAGTGCATTCTGCAGATTCACCTTACATTTATGTCAATGCTTTTGTTATGTTACTGGATGCATTGAATCTGTTTGCACTCAAACAATTAAGTCAAGAGTGTCAATTGCAAATTAAGTTAATTCCAGTGAGCAGAAAAAAGTTCTTCATCAAGACAGACATTGATAGGAAACCATCGTCAACAAGTACTGCACTACATTATAACAATGATCATTAAATATTACTTTGTCTCTTTTGCTTTCTTTGTGTTGTTGGATACCACTCAGTAAGTTTCTATAACACATTCAATATGCACAGGTTCCTTTAGAGCAGGGTTCCTCAAATCTTGCCCTGGAGGGCCAATGCGCTGCAGAGTTTAGCTCCAACCCTGATCAAACTCACGCACCTGTGATTTGCTAATGATCCTGAAGACACTGATTAGCATGCTCAGGTGTGTTTGATTAGGGTAAGAGCTAAACTGTGCAGGAAAGTGGATCTCGTGGGCCAGATTTGAGGATCCCTGCTTTAGAGTGTAGAATGAAACATGTTTACTTTTTCTATGACGTTTGCAAAGATTTCAATCCAACAATAAGCTTGAAAAAAGTTTTGTCACTCTTCTTACCTCTTTCACATGTCGTTTTAGGTGCATGTACACGCTCTGTCCAGTTTTATGGTAATGTCTCTCCACATGTTCTCTTCCGAAACCCAGGAATGAGTTCATACACACATACAGACCTCCTTCTGATTCCTAAAAAAAATGATGAAACAAGATTTAAGCTAAGTCAAATGTAGCCAAGTAATTTTACACTTCATATTAAATGTAAATAATTATATTAAGTTACATTTACAAAGCAAATGTGAACAAAACTGCTATTAGAGAGTGTTCAAGTCATAAACAACATCAACATACAAACACATGAAAAGAGGAAACACTTTAACGTAGCAGAACATAATCAAAAACACCTGCATAGAACAGTCTAGGGCTTTACTGAATTGTAATGCAGAGTATCTGCTCTGTGTTATTAGAAATAAAATTATTAGACATAAAAGTACAATTATAAATAAACCTAAAATTGCATAATGCTCAGAATTTTGCCTTTTACTTTTATCATTTAAATTATTACAGTAATGGTGCTCTTTTTTGTTGCTGTACATGTTTTCAGGCATATATTGCCGTAACATGGATTTTTGGACATGTGTCATGATATATACGTTTGGTTATCAAGATCATTCACATAATTTATAATGGCATAATGCTCGTTTATGTACAGTGGGTAACACTCAGTGATTCTGTTTTTATTTCTTTCTGACTTGTTGGTGTTATATCTTTCACATGGATGTTATAAGTTGCACTGAGTAAATAAAAAGCTTGATAAAACAAAAACCGTGTTCATCTTCATTTCAGGCTGCAAAGCAACAAAATGTGATTATTTTAAAGGTGGGTGATTCTTTTCTATACCCACCGTAAGTTATCAAGGTTGTTTTCAGTACTGTTTTGTTCATTTTAAATTGAAAAATTCATATAAAACAATAAGAGTACTACAATAAGAGTTAGTGATACAGAATAAACAAATAAGAAGTTTAATCTGGATCAAAACACTGAATTGCAGGGCCGGTGTTTGTAGGTTAGGGGGTTGAGGTCTCACCAGACTGAAAAAACCTGTCACTAGCTCCTGGTGACACACGAGCTTGAACAGATAGTGTGTAAAAATAACCTGTCTTTTAGTCTGACATGTGGAACTCCAAACAGCGGAGTCACCTTTAAAACTTTTAGATCTGTTAGCTAGTTGTGCACTTTACCCACATTTATTTAAATATTCCCATCAATGCTTAAAACAAATACATGGTATTCTATATATTATCTGTGGTCAGAGCTTGTACACTTGAGTATGTATAACAGCCCACACTGATCTGGATTCTTTTTATAGCTCATAGCTGCTTACTGCTTATTAGTGTACATTTAGGAAATCAGTTTTCACATATATCAAGCTACACAACAGTAGACTCTTGATGTCAAGCAAATATCATAACGTACAGTATGATCTCAACAAGTAGCCTAGCTATCATAGTGTGTAAAAATAACCTGTCTTTTAGTCTGACATGTGGAACTCCAAACAGCAGAGTCACCTTTAAAACTTTTAGATCTGTTAGCTAGTTGTGCACTTTACCCACATTTATTTAAATATTCCCATCAATGCTTAAAACAAATACATGGTATTCTATATATTATCTGTGGTCAGAGCTTGTACACTTGAGTATGTATAACAGCCCACACTGATCTGGATTCTTTTTATAGCTCATAGCTGCTTACTGCTTATTAGTGTACATTTAGGAAATCAGTTTTCACATATATCAAGCTACACAACAGTAGACTCTTGATGTCAAGCAAATATCATAACGTACAGTATGATCTCAACAAGTAGCCTAGCTATCACACTACTAGATTGCCAATGTTGATGAGAGGATGTCAAACGCCTAAGAACAGGGGAAATAATGATTGCTTTCTTTGACACGCCTTTAAAAACAGAGGACATAAATGCTCTGTAATAAAGACTAGCGTTCAGACTTGCAGTGTTTATGCTACCATTACATTTGGAGCTCGTATAGCGCCATTTAAAGTAGGGAAACCTGGTCCCACTGTAAGATGTAAACACCCGTGTGGTATTTATTTCTGAAGGCTGTCACACAAATTGAGCTGGAGAATGGTGGCCGAGGATCCCTCATCTCTCTTACGCGCCATACGCAGCTTTTCACGTGTCTGGGGGACGCCAGTTGTAGTTTAACGTTCATGCATGAAGTATTTGACATAATACTCACAGGAGAGTCGTAGGAAAAAGCGCATTCGCTCTTGAAAACCCTGTCTCCTGTCCTTGGTACTCTAATGGTGGGCATGTACGGGACCAGTAGCTCTCCCAGATCTGTAGCCATCTTCACATTCCTGCTGCTCGCACCACTATGAGCCTCGCTGGAGCAGCGTGTCAGGCAGAAGATGAGATGGGGCTATTTTTAAATCATACAGACCCGACATTCCTCATGGACCGAGGGATGTGACGACGAAAACATTGGAACACTGAGGGATGGAGGGTGGTGTCTGGTGTGTTGGGGGGTTGGGGGAGGGAGACAATGGGTGTCCCCTTGGAGAAACAGGCAATATTTGACATTATTCACCCTGACGCCAAGTGGTGGCGTTTTCAGATCTACGCTCAGTGAGTGTTTATAACGGCTGTGGCATGTAGTATACCTCAGTACAGAACAACTTAACGTTATTTTTTTTTACTGAGAGACAATTTTGAAGACTCAAGAAACCTCTGCAGGTGTTTTGAGTTGATTAGCTGATTGGCATGTCACCATATTCTAATTTGTTGAGATAGTGAATTGGTGGGTTTTTGTTAAATGTGAGCCAAAATCATCACAATTAAAAGAACCAAAGACTTCAACTACTTCAGTCTGTGTGCACTGAATTTATTTAATACACGAGTTTCACAATTTGAGTTGAATTACTGAAATAAATGAACTTTTCCACGACATTCTAATTTATTAAGATGCACCTGTATATGTATTATGTTGTCTTAATTATCATTATTGTTTTTTTATTTCCATTTTTATGCATAAAATTTTGCTCTTCCTCTTTTATTATAAAATGTTTCATCTTTAATCTAATGTTATATTAATTCAGATATGTTTACATGTTGACATAAGTACTTGATTGTTTTTTTTGAAAGGTGCTATACCAGCCATTATTTATGTAAAATTTAAATTTACATTATTTGCTAGTTGATTATCTATGCAATGCATCATTTAATCTACACTAAATCACTTTTCTTTTAATAATATTTCAATAATAATAAAGGTCCTCAATTTATTTATTTTTTATTGTATTAAAACAAAATATATTGAAACTCATGTTTTAGACTGACATATTAAAAGACAATAGACTGAAATACAGTAGTTCAGCTGTTTGCTTGGAATAATTTACAAACTGAAATTTTATTTTATTCACAGTTCTGAAACTATCTTTTAATTTACATAAGCTTCTGATGTAGTACTTCAACACTTTACTATTACTATTATTACGGTTACTTGAAATTTCTCATTTTAGTGTGGCTTGACTGCAATAATACAAATATTTTTTTATAATATCTAGGTTTTGATTCCAATTGTTTTTGGTGGAATTTGCTAACTTGCAAAAAAAAAAAACATGACTAACACTTCCGTGGAACACAAAATAAAAAATGATGAACCATTTGGTTGATCTTATCCATGTAATTATAAAGAATGAAGACAGCAGCTTTCAAGCTTCTATACACATAAAAGCATCATAAAAGTAGTCAGTATGTGCTGTATTCTGAATCTTCTTAACCCATTCAATAGATTTGTGCATTGAACAGTCTGAAATGAATAAATGATGAAAGAATTTTCATTTCATTTCAAGGATACACAAGAGCAGTGACTTCATCATTAGTTTATTGGTGCCAGAGGCAAAGAAAAGGGGAAAAAATAAACAATATATTTTTTATTAATAACAATACATTATACATTGTATAATGCCTGAATATTTTGGACAGGTATGAATGACCACTCCTAGTTATCAGGGGATGACTTGGGGCTGTGGTCGATGAGATTCTTATCAAGTGTCTGAATCTGAAACCAGGGTCCATCTCCTTTTTCTCTCATGTGTCGGCGGACTTCAAGTTGTAGTTGTCTACAAGAACAATAGGGGATAATAAATTAGAGATCATCAATTAGGCTACATAAAAACAAGATACATTTCTGTAGGTAGTCTACACAAAGCACCTTTGTTATTGTGGTACTGACAATAAATTGTGTTCCAAGGTTCGACAATTCCTTCAATATTTTTTACCCTACAGAAGTTTTTGCTCTCTTTTTATCGAATCTCATAGTACATGGTTTATTAATGATATGTGACCCTGGACCACAAAACCAGTCTTAAGTCGCTGGGGTATATTTGTAGCAATGGCCAAAAATACATTGTATGGGTCAAAATGATACATTTTTCTTTTATGCCAAAAATCATTAGGATATGAAGTAAAGATCATGTTACATGAAGATATTTTGTAAATGTCCTACTGTAAATATATTAAAACTTAATTTTTGATTAGTAATATGCATTGCTAGGAACATCATTTGGACAACTTTAAAGGTGATTTTCTCAATATTTAGATTTTCAAATAGTTGTATCTCAGCCAAATATTGTCCTATCATAAACCATACATCAATGGAAAGCTTATTTATTATGACTGGTTTTGTGGTACAGGGTCACATATTAATGATAATTTCTTTACTTGAAGGCACCTCACACTTGAAATGAACCTACATAAACATAAACCTTCGTAAACAAATTAAAAAGTCCTAAATGACTGTAAAGAGTTGGGAGAAAATCGGATGCGTGTCAGATCCATGTCATGTGCATCAGGTTTTAAATAGGCAGCACTGCTTTTAAAATGAAATCTGATGAAGCCTGTCATTGATGTAAATCATAGAACAAAAGAAAACGAGAAATCACTGGACTGCTCTAGTCACTGATTAACTTTTGTAGCTTGAATAAAGATTAATCTATATAGTTTATGCATATACAAATTAAGAGTTTGTGAAGATTGTTTTAAGTTCACTTAAATTAAAAGTTATATTTTTCAGAGCCTATTAAATGTAAAAAATAATGGCTCTCAAATATACTGAAAAAATGTGCAATTAATTAGTTAATTTTTGAGAGATCTGCCAAAACTGATGCCTGTCAGCAATGAAAGTTGAGTGTGAAAATTAAGGACACATAATGAATACCACCTATCCTTATATTACATATCATAAATAAAAAGATTTTACAGTAAGGTCCCATTTTGTTAAAGGGACCAGTCCAAAATTAAAATGTCACCATCATTTGCTCACCCTAAAGTTGTTCCAAATCTGTATGAACTACTTTCTTCTTCTGAAAACAAAAGAAGATTGAAGAATTTGGCTAACCAAACAGTTCCATTTTCTTTTTTTCTTTTTTACATAATAAGGTCCATGGGGACCAGCAAGTGCTTGGTTATCAACATTCTTAAAAATATCTTCATTTGTGTTGAACAGAATGAAGAAATTCAGTCAGGTTTGGAACAACTTTAGGGTAAGTGAAATTACACAATTTTAATTTGTTGGGTGAACTATCCCTTTAAATCACTTGTGTGGTGTTCATATTTTTGTTACTCAGCCAGTGTTCGTGGGTCTGGTGGACCCGCTGCAGTTTTGGGTTTTTAATTCAACACAATCAAAAATGATATGTTAAAATACTCAACAGATGTTTACTTCATCCCAATTACAAGCAATATAAACAGCATATAGTCAAAATTTGCCCTTTACATTTGTTAGATCACATTTATGAACTAAAGTGCTACAACCTTGTGCGGGAATGGCAGGGGCAGAAACACAAAACTCACACTTATAGACTCACACTCACTCACTCACTCACACACTCACACACTCACACACACACACACACACACACACACACACACACACACACACACACACACACACTCACACACTCACACATATACTAATATAGCACTTGTAAATTATTGCTCTTTTGTTGGTTTTGATTGCTTGCTTCTATTGTCCTCATTTGTTAGTCGCTTTGGATAAAAGCGTTTGCTAAATACCAAAATGTAAATATAATGTAAATGACAAAACTAAATTGAAATTTTAAAACAAGCCCCAAATCAAATAAATAAGTAACAAATAAAAGAAATCTCTTCATATAAACAAACTAAGGCTTTGTCTGTGCTCTTTCCATTTAAAATTAGAGGTAACCAAATTACATTACATTACAAGTTACATTGTATAATTTCGAAATTTTAAGCCAGAATGGTTTGACTTCAGTTTTGTGAAACTATGCATAAAAAAATATCTGCATGAAACAGAAACAGCAGACGAGCTGAATGAGACGCAGATTCACTCTATGCCAGCAGGTTGTGCTTAAAGCGTTTCCTTGGTTTCCGCTGTAAACAAAGCAGCGCTAGACTTATGTACTTTAATATGCATTATACAGAGGAAAAAATACCATCTAACCTTTTCTAAAGACCGTAAGTTCCCCTCAGACATACATTCATATATAAACTCCTGCCCTTAATTGAATCGCGATTTGTTTAGCATCTCGACAGATTTGAATCGTCACATATTGAAATCGATTTTCAACCGGCTCGCGGTTAATCGTTACATCCCTAGTTCTTCATTTGATAAAAAGTGAAAACCTGAACACCATACAAGGGTTAATGCATTAATTAAAGTTAACTAACAATGACCAATCCATTTGTTACAGTATGTACTAATCTTTGTTAATGTCATCTAGTTAGTTAGTTAGTTAAATACAGCCGTTCATTGTTAGTTCACGTTAGCTCAGGTTCATTAGATTATATTAACAGATGCAACTTTTGATTTAAATAATGTATTAGTAAATGTTGAAATTAACCTCAACTAAGATTAATAAATGCATCAGAAGTATCTTTCATTGTTAATTCATGTTAGCTAATGTATGTAAAGGAATATTTCACCCAAAAATGAAAAAATGCCATTCAAGATGTAGAGGAGTTTGTTTATTGGAACAGATTTGGAGAAATTTAGCTCTATATCACTTGCTCACCCATGGATCTTCTACAGTGAATGGATGACATTTAGGGTTGCAAAGGTAAATTTCCGGTAAATTTCCGGAAACTTTTCAAAAATCCCTGGAATATTCCAAAAAATCCTGGAAAGTTTCCAAAATTTCTGGAATGTTTCCGTCAAAAGTAAAAACTGTGTGTTTAAAAGAAACAAATCCATCATTAATGCTTTTTTTACTTTAAACTGTCGCTTCTGGACAAAATATCAGTCCATAATAATGCTTCATCCATTACAAAAAAAATAATAATAATAAATTCTCTCTTCATTCAGACGGAACAACTTTTTCACTAGAGAAAGCAATATTATGAATGGAGAATTCCATTTTTTTTTGCTGGAAACAGCGGTTAAAGTTAAAAACATCTCATTGATGGATTTTTTTTATTATAAGTACAGCTTTTCATTTCACAAAACATTATTGATGGACTGGAGTTGTGTGGATTATTGTGATGTTTTTATGTTGTTTGAACTCTTAATCTGATGGCACCCATTCACTGCAGAGGATCCATTGGCGAGCAAGTGATGAAATACAACTAATATACATTTTGGATGGACAGAGTAAGTGCATTTTCGGTAAATTTTAATTTTTGGGTAAACTATTTCTTTAACTAATGTTAACAAATGAAATTTTATTGTAAAATGCTGCCAAATATTTAAGAAAATATAACCCTAATTCCTAAATGGAAATAACAAGCACATGTAATTTCTCATTGAGCTTAAGTAGTTGAATCACACGAAGACAGCTTACCTCATTTCAGCCTTCTCGGCCTCAATATGGATAAGTGCCATCATTTTCTCATAGTCCTTCACTGGGCTGTCATAAAAGGTACGAGCAATCCAACGGGTGATGGGATGCTAAGATATAACGAAGACAACCAATGAAAGGAAACAGCATCGACACAATAAAAAGAAATACAGTTACAATGGGCACTTTTTAGATTATATGTCGGGCTGAAATGTCAGTGCATCCTGATAGTGCCTTAACCAGAATAAAAGCAGAATGAATTAATATATCACCAAATTGAGCTTTTTTCCATATTTGTCGGAGTTTGTGACTCGCGGTGGTTCAGAAGTTCTCTGAATGACCGAGCACTCCACACATGTGTCAGAAAAGGACTGGAAGCCTTTTTTTGACCTGCCAGAGAACTGGGGTGAACAAACAGTTAAATCAGGTACCAACAATGTTGAATACGATTTTACCTAAGTTTTTATTATTCACAGTTACTATAAATTGTAGTCTTTGTCTCAACCTTGAATGACAGCATTATATTCAGTGTCCAAATATTCTGACTAGATAAGAGGCCTACTAGGTTTTGAGATACAGTCTACCATCATCAATTGATAATACAGTTATTAATGCTGTATCCTGATGATTTTTTGGAACCTCATAGGTGCTCCATGGACTGCCAAACAGCTTAGACTGAAAAGTAAAGAAAACTTACACAAACTTTGGTAATTGAGTAGTTTTTACAGTTTGAAGACTTTTAAAGATAAAAGGCAATAAGTATTAACACACATTCCTATTTGTATTTTTCAGGTATGTTTTCTTGAAAGAAAAGAACATGTTACTTACTTTAGAACAGGAGGCAAAACGACAGCGCCTTCCGATGCCCAGTCCAGAGCGCCTCAAAAAAGTATGAAATGTGTTTCAATTTCATTCAAAGTACCGCTTAAAGTTTGGGGTCAGTAGGATTTTTTTTTTTTAATGTTTTTATTCAGCAAATGTGTTAAATTGATCAAAATTGACAGTAAAGGATTTCACGTTAAAAAATCTACCAACAATAATAAATGCTGCTCTTTTGAGCTTTCTATTCATAAAATAATTCTGGAAAAAAAAAAAACATGCATCATGGTTTCCGTTAATAAATTAACTAGCACAACTGATAATAATAAGAAATGTTTGTTGAGCACCAAATCAGCATATTAGAATGATTTCTGAAGGATCATGTGACACTAAAGTCTGGAGTAATGATGCTGAAACTTCAGCTTTGCCAGCACCGGAATAAATGACATTTTAAACTATAATCAAAAACAGCTGTTTTAAATTGTAATATTTAATAATAGTACTATTTAACTGTATTTTTGATCAAATTATTCAATGATCAGATCTATTTGATCAGATATTTGACCAGTTTTTCATAACCACTCTTCTGAAGGGACATGTTTGCACTGCCTGCGTAGTTTTATCTGCTGTATTCTTGGACTCATGATTCTCTTTAAGGAAATGACAGCCAAGAGCAGCTAAGTCAAGTCTTGAAATTTAAATACAGGGTGAATCTGTGGCTGTTCTATGCATGTTCAATTTATCAGGTGTACATGGATGAATATCCATTCTGAATTCTTTTAATAGGTTGAAAGGTCAATAATGCGTCTTGACACGGTTGTGAAAGAACGTGAGGATTCTCTGCGCTTACTGCAGACAGGACAAGAGAGGGGCAGACCGGGCGAATGGCGCAGGAATGTTTTTTGGCAAAACCTTCTGGTAAGCAAATCAAATGAGTAAATGTTTTGCAGATTGTTCTCCTATGCGCATACATTTTGTGTTTGTGTAATGTAACTTATAAGCATGTTTGTTCACCAGGTACCGCTTCAGGGAACATCCAATCCCCTGATATCTGAATTCCAGATACAAAAGGCAGCGATTCTTTGAACCATCACATGTTGCCCCGTACACAAGGTAAGTCTCAATTTACAAGTCAACAGAAAAAAATTTCCCCGTCAGATTAACTACAAATTTAACTGAAAATTTGATTTTATGGAGCATCATGGTGATGGAAAAATTATATTTCAAAGATTTTACGTTCGCTCACAAACTCTTCGCATTTGTTGCAAGTTTCTCGAGTGAATATAAAACTTTTGATTTTTTTTGTTCCTCCATCATGGGCCTCCTTAAAATAGTTATTTACATGATTCATTCAACCAGCTGATAGATGTTGACGCTAACAGATGATATTACATTACGCAAATGACATTTCCTTGATACACTGTAATGTTCAACTCTGCTGTTCTGAATTTTAGGTTGCAAAATACGGAAAGAAAAAAAAGAGAAAATGGAAATCAAAAAATGCTTGCTCCAATGTTTCCAAAAAAGACTGCACTTGCATCAGACCACTGAAAAGACTTTTCGCATTTAATATTGTCTTTTCAACACACAATACTTTTTTTTTTTCATTTCTCCAAATGTTTTAGAGACTCATAATATGTTGTACAGTCAAAAAATAAATTCACACTTGTAACCGAGACTGTTGTTTTGTATATATTTACCTAGTTTAATTTTTATGACTAATGTCTAAATGAGTGAATTATAAGGACTGCAAGTCATTCTCCCATTTGAATAACTTTAAGGGACACATTTAAATATAGGTTTTCCCCAATATGCAAGTCTGAATAAACAAGTTGAAATGTACTAAAGATTAGAACAAAAGTTTAAATACAAATGTGCACAATCACTAAATTGGCAATCTTACCTGTTCAATAGGAGAGAAATTTAGACAAGTTTAACAAAAAACTATTTATTCCCAAAACAGCTGATCAATTGTTAAAAGCATAACAAACATTGTTTCCTGTGATGCATTTTCTAAGAAGTGGCATAAATCAAAAAACTATTTCAACTGTTCTAAGCATTGATACAATTGAGGGACATAATTCCCATGTACCAAACGACAACCTCGTCACTGTTACTTTAATTATTCAGGTGGTCAGAAACGGGATATTTGAAAATATTGTGTGGAGTAGAAAAGAGTGCAACCATGTCAAACGGTTTAAAATATGGTTTGTTTGCACTAAAAATAACAGTAAGTGTCCTTGTTAGTTCCTGAGTCCACTAAGAAGGCTTTTCTACTAGGAGGTGGTGGTGGTGGCGGGGGGGGGGTTTCTTTCCTCTCCTTTTGAAGGCAACCAGGTGTTGATGGAACTGGTTAAGGGCACTTCCTGTCAACACACTGTTTCCCACCTTCCTCATACTCCTGTTTTGAAATCCACATTTGCTGGAAAGTTCCCTAAAAGTAACAAAAACAGAGTCATGATATATTGTGGTTTTGTTAGACTGAAATAAAGGCAATATGCTATGGTAGGGTTGCCAACCGTCCCGTATTTTGGGCCTAATTGATTTGTTCCGTACGTGACTTCCCTTGTCCCATTTTTTTGACTGCTACGCTGATGTAACCACTGACTGATACAACAGCAGCAGTGCTGATCACTTGAGAATGGTCACCGATACCTGTCATCATCCAATCACAGCCCCCCTCACGCAGTTATACATTAATTAAATCAGAAATCGTGAACAGAACTTCGAGGAAGGCTGCGCAATCCTCTGCCGGCTCGTCGCTCCCGCCTCACAGCAAGAGGCGCTCACACTAACACCAATTCTGTCCGTGTTTTCACTTCAGTAAATCAGTTTTGGTGAATACAAACTACGTGATTATTTTTCATGAGTCCAACAACCCGCCACGCAAGAGACGTGATCAGTAGGAGAAGTTGTCTTTCACTATTGTAATGTTGTTAATTAGAGAAAAACATTTTATATTTAAGTAATAGCATAATTCTTAACCTTGGGCCTTATTCTTGAAACAAAACGACCAATAAAAAGGTGTCAAGCACCAAAAGCAGCCCATATTAAATCTATAAGCCAACCCGAATCAAACACACCTGAACAAGATAATCACGGTCTAAGGGTTACTAGAAAGCTTTAAAAAACAGTTTTTTGATCCTGACACAAAATGACCAGCTAACATTAATTGACTAATCATATCAGCAGCACAAGGTGTGAATACTAGTCAGGTAAATCACTATCATACTACTATAAGCCAACCCTAATCAAACACACCTGAACAAGATAATCACGGTCTAAGGGTTACTAGAAAGCTTTAAAAAACAGTTTTTTGATCCTGACACAAAATGACCAGCTAACATTAATTGACTAATCATATCAGCAGCACAAGGTGTGAATACTAGTCAGGTAAATCACTATCATACTAATTAGTTAGTAAGAGCAGACTGATTGATATAAAAGGAGGGAAGAAGCACTTCCAATCATTGTAGAAAACCACCAGCTAATCTGTTTTCCAAAAGATAACTTCTCTTATCTACCACTTTCTGGGTGCCCAAGGTTGCAGAGGCATATACATTTTAAGATTTTAATGAGCTGTCAGGATTTTAAGGAGTTTCACACACATTATTTCCTTTTTATTTATTTTCCTATTATCTCATCCTGTGGCATCTCCCATTTCTGATACTTCCTTCTGTATTCTCCATTCATATTGCAGTCACATAAACCATGAGGCCTATACAGTCACTCAGTTTGGCCTTGAGGCCTTCAAATGCACCCAGCTCTCATATGAGGCAAACTAACTTTCACAAACAAGCAAAGTAACTTCTTCAATTGTTTTCTGTAGGGTAAATAAAATATTTCATCACCCTCTGCCAGAACGTTGTCTATGGGAAGAAGGTTTACCTTCCAGCATGACAATGACCCAAAGCACACAGCAAAACTGAGCACACAGTGGTTGAAGAGAAAAATGTGAATGTCCTTGCATGACCTAGTCAGAGTCCAGACTTAAACCCCATTGAAAATCTGTGGAATGACTTGAAGACTGCAGTCCACAAACGATCACCATCAAATTTAACTGAACTTGAGCAGTTCTGCAAAGAAGAGTGAGCAAATATTGCAAAGTCTAGATGTGCAAAGTTACACTGAGGAAAACCACACATCTCAAACGCATTAAACAGCACAAATAGTGTCTGTCAGCAGCACATGAGTCTGTCAGAGCACCCGAGGCAGCGAGCCCCTTTAAAACTACACGGTAATTATATCTTAGTAGTTATTTTAAAGCCCTTAATACAAAGCATGTCTCATGTTTAGAACAAAATGGATTATGCACATTCCCCGCAGCAGCTCACTCTGTCCAATATTGTATATCGATATAAACGGTATATCGAGTCCAGCAAGAGCAACTTCTTCCAATGATCCATGAGCAATTTGGTGATAATCTGTGCATTTTCCAGCATGATGGAGCACCATGTCACAAAGCAAGAGTGATAAAGAAGTGGCTCGAAGATCATTACATTGAAACTTTGGATCTGTGGCCAGGCAACTCCCCGGATCTCAATCCCATAGAGAACCTGTGGTCAGTCCTCAAAAGACGAGTGGACAAGCAGAAGCCCACAAATTGTGATCAACTCCGAGAACTAACTAGGCAAGAATGGATCGCCATCAGTCAGGATTTGGCCCAGAAGCTAATATCCAGCATGCCAGAGCGAATTGCAGAGGTTATGAAGAACAAGGGTCAACACTGTAAATATTGACTCATATTTTTTTGCCAATAAAAGCCTTTAGAACTTATCATTGTTTTTCAGTATACCATAGAAACATGTGGGAAAATAATCTACAAATACTGAAGCAGCAAACTTTGAAAAACACAATTTATGGCACTGCCAAAACTTTTGGCCATGACTGTACATCTAATATCATCATTTAGGGCCAGTAACTGGTGTAAATGCTGGCTGACACTCCCAACATAGCAGATGCCCGTACTGCACCTTAACGCTGGTTGCTACACATCATAAAATGGAAAAAAGACGACAACAATGCAGTGTGACACTACTTCTGCCACACAAAATCATTTCAGGACATGACGGACAGTGAAACTGCACCTGAAAGAAGTTAGTTCATTCATACCCCAGCCTAAAAGAAGTGCCAATTAACAGTTCTCATAGCTGGTTATGGTTACAAAAGCTCTCTGCCTCCCTAAACTCACATTTTGAGTGTGATTCATTGGTCAAAAGAAATAAAACAAATTATGCATTTGACAGATAGCATTATTTTTTGGTCAAATCTCTATCGATATTGCAATAATATCGTTAGCGTGGGTTTTTTTTTGGCCAACACAATTGTGTAAAATCTGATCCCGTGACAGCCCTAGTGAACACTACTCACCAGAGATGCGAGGATAGAGCCCCCAATCCAGGCGCTAAATCTGCGCTCCACAGTTGTGTTGTTGGCTATCAATTTCAAACGCATACTCTGCAGAGAGGACAAAAATCAATTCATGTTATCATAAAAAAGCAACAAATCACTTCAAGAGACCCACCTGACACTCTAAAATAGCAAAATAAAATGTGCCACTTACTGGTGGCGTCTTCTGCGAGAGTTCTCTGTTAATTCTGTCTGTAAAGCCTTGGATGAGAGTGTTTCCTCCTGTAACTACCACACTGCCATACAGACCCTGTTTAAAAAAGAAAACGATGTGGGAAGCATAATGACACCTGCATTGGCAGCAGAGATGCAGGACATGTAAATGTAGACGTATAGCAGTGTTTTAAAATCTTACTGGTCGAATGTCTATGTCACACATGCCAACGCTGGTGGTCACAACATGGCTGACTCCCAGCATGGTATTCCCTGACAGACCCTGTGAAAATTTTAAGACGCCGTAAAAAAAAATATATAAAAATACTAGCATTACACAAAGAGGCTTGGACAACGTAAGAAGGATATTTCTTGCCTTAGCGTTTGAAGGATCAAAAAGACCCTCTGGGATCTTAAGTCTTTCAGCTCCGAAATCACAGTTGTATCCATTAGGCAGCTCATAATGAACGGTGGGCATCTGGGCAGCTACTCTGTATAGGAAAAATTGTAACAATGTGGCGTTTTTCTTTTCCATTAAGATCATAAGCACTGCAAAAGCTCAATCGATAAAGTTAATTATGATATTTCAACTTAAAATATTATATAAAATGCAGTTCAAAAGTTTAGGTTTGGTACAACTTGATACATGTTTTTGAAAGAAGTCTTCTATGCTCACCAAGGCTGCATTTATTTGCTCAAGAATACAGTAAAATCAGTAATATTGTGAAATAGTTACATTATTTCAAAATAATGATTTTCTTAATGTTAAAATAATATATGTTAAAAAAACACTAGCTTCTCTAATCTTTTTGTATTCTATTCGTTTTCTTTT